ACCCCAGCCCCTGAGCCCCGGCCGTAGCACCCCGATTATTCCCCGCCCCGACCCCAACCCACCATCCAAACGCCCACCTTCCCATCGCAAGCCCTCCACGCCGCAGCTGCCCCCTCCCCGCGATTCCCAGAGGCTCTCCGGGTCTCCGCAGCCCCGGACCCCAGCTCTAAAGTTACTTTGTGAGGAGGTAAACCCGCGGGTTATTTCCCTCAATCACCCAAACAAGTTTCCATCCTCACCACCAGCACCGCCGCCGCCCCCCAAGCACACTCGCTCCCTCCCGCCGACAGCCCCCCACGGCCGCCCGCCCCGCGCCAGCCCATCCTGGGGAATCACCGCTCCCCGCACCACACGCCCCCACCTCGCGCACCCCTCCCCCTGCCGGCCCACCCCCGGATCTCCCGGGCGGAGAGTGTCTGTGTGTCTGTGTCTCCGCGAGTGCGTGCGTGTGTGTGCGCGCGTGTGAAGGCGGAGGTAGGTGAGAAGCGGAGACACTTACTTCTCCCGGGCCTGGCTGTCGGACGGGACGGCGCTGCTGTTACTCTTGCCTTTGCCGTACATGCTTGTGCCGAGAGCAGCTCCCACTGTCACGCACCTGTCAACCCATCACAGCCTCCCCGGGAACAGCCCCGTCCCCATGGCGACCCACGCAGCCACCCCCTCTATTGGCCGCCCCACGCCAAAGCTCCACCCCCTTCGCCCGGGCAACGCGCGAGACTGACAGCCCTCCCCTTCCCTCCACCTCCCTCAGGCCCTCCGAAGCGCGCGGTGGCTGCTACAGCCTAAGCGGCAGTCTCCTCCCTCCTTCCCTCCCTTCGTCGGTTCCTCCCTCCCTCCTTCCCTCTCTGCTCTCCTCCCTCCTCCCGCTCTCCTTCCCCCCTCCCCCTCCGAACCTCGGCGCAAGGGGGGAATTAGAAACTGCTCTAGAAGGATTTTAAACAACTGGCTGTTCCCTCCGCCGCCGCCCCTCCCCCCGCGCCGCCCGCGCTCGACTCCTCACTGGAGAGAAGGCGCCGGGAGGAGGGGAAAGTGCGGCCTGGAGTCTCTGGCAGGAGCCGGCGGAGCTGGAGCCGCAGCGGCCCCAGACTTCGGGGCGCCCGCCGAGTGCACCGGCAGACCCAGGGCCCCGTCGCCTCAGAGGCCCCCACCAGCCCCTACTCCTGCTCCTCTCCTGCTGGTGCCCCCGCGCCGGTACCCGCTACTGATCTCAGCCGCCCTCAGCCCTACTCCCCGGGGTGTCGCCCCCGCCCAGCTCCCTAAGGGCAGGCTGGGGAGGGACAGCGTGTTGCTCCCTCGACCTTCGAGCTGAGCCACCGGGAACGACTCGATTCCCCTCCTGGGAAAGGACTAAGCCTCCAGTCCCTGGCGCCGCTGGGGTGGCGTCGCCCAGCTCGTGGGGCTGCGCCCTGCGCCCGGATCGAGCGCCCTGCCTCGGGCCTGCCTAGTCTCCGTGGAATGAGTCTGCTTCCCTAAAATGGCTGGGTGACTCCGGGGGGGGGACACAGTTACCCCCCTACTTCGACCCCTCATCGCGGGGAGCCCGACGTTATACCAAGCACCAGCTTCCCTGCCAGCCAGCTGTAGAAGAGGGCCCCAGGCATCCTCTCCCGGCTAGGTTTTCCGAGCTGCAGGATGGTGCCAACTCTTCATGACCCCTTGCGTGGAAAAGGCCTTAAAAGACATTACCGTCCCTAGCCTTCATCGAATGGGACCCAGCAGCGTTCCAAGGTGCCAAAAGCTGTGCCTCAACTGAAATGCTGTCGGGGATATTTCTGGGTCTAAGTCTCTAATCCCATTTTCATAAATGCGCAAAAGTTTCTGAAATACACACAACCTGGTTCCAAATAGAACTCCATTCTCTATCTTGCAGAGATCCTTGGCTATAAAATCAGACAGGGTGCAAATGGGGTTAGAAAGAAGAGATGGGCATCAAATGGGGAATGACAGGAGAGGGGTGCAGGTGGGGCTGGACTGGTGGAAACATCAGGGAAGGATAAATAGAGTGCATCAAATATGAGAGGGGAGAGGAAATAGAATTCAAATGGGAAAAGTACCTTTCTATCCCTCACATAGAGTTTTAAGCTTTTAGTAGTAGAAGGATCATAAAAATGCATATGGAGATACAGAGAAAATGGAATGGAAAGAAATAAGCTTCTGTGGGCACTGACAGCAAAGCGATAGGAATAAAACATCTACAGAAGGTTAAGGAAGGGCAGTTAGTAAAAATGAAAGGTAGCGAATCAGAAAAGGGGTTGGCAACTAAACATAAATCAAAGAATGGGAAAATGAAGAGGAAGGACCTGCTCTCTTGGTATTAGGGAAAATAAAAAATTGCAAAAGGTAAGGTGTGAAAAAGAGGAAAGTAAAAGAAACAGGATGGAATGAAGAAACCACAAAAGATGATAGTAAAAGAAGATGACAAAAATAATAGAAGTGTGACCTTATGATTTTAAAAAGACAAGAAATATAACAGCACTTTTAGTAAAAGGACAAAAATTCGAGAAAAGTGAATAGAAGAAACAAGAATAAGGAAAGTGGGAGTTGGTGGAAATCACAAGAAGTAATTTACCATGTCTAACTCTTAAATCCTCTTCTGTTTCTAAAGATCTAACAATGATTTGGTGGGTGAGATATTTGGATTCATGGTCTCTGAAGAAATACTACCTCTCTCTTTTAATGAAACTTTACTAAAAGATGCTCAACCCTGTATGTGGTTGCCATTGTTTACAGACTCTACCATCAAGGTTTGTTGTTCAAATGTCTGTTTTCACTGGCTCTCATCCAGAAAAGTATGCCCATCTTACGGTTCCCATCATGTGTAGAACACTCTCTATAGGTGCTAGAAGAAAGAGTGTGCTAGTAACTGCAGATCTACCCTCCTGCATGCTCCTGGAATCGTGGAAGACTTCAATTGAAAACCAAAAGTGAGCTTTGTATTGTTATCAACAAATTGTTATTGTTATTGCACTGGGATCAGGATTCAATATGTTTCTCAGTCATTACATGCTAGGATTGACTTAGAAACATTTGTTTTGTTGTTGTTGTTGTTTTATTTAATATCTGGGATCCCACTTCAAACCAACAGAATCAGAACCTTGAGGATGGGCCCAGGTATCTGTATTTTTTCAAAGCTTCAAGTTATTCATCATAGCCAGGGCTGCTTATCATTGTCCTTCAGGATTCATTGAACGGCAGTCAATGAGCACAGTCTTGCACAGACTTTAACATAGCCTGTTTAAGTTGTGACTGTACACAGCAGATGACGTTACTAGGATACGACTTTTTTCCTTAGACTTTGCAGTCAACCACTGGCTCAACAACTTGTTAATAGGATCATAACTTATGACCATATGTGTTCTTTTAGCTGTTGGTTGGTTATGTGCTGAGGAGTCTGTTCCCACTCATAGCGACCTCGGAGGCAGAAAGCCTCATCTTTCTCCAGCGGAACACCTGGTAATTTCAAACTACTGACCTTGAGGTTAGCAGCCCTACTCAAAACCACTACGCTACCAGAGCTCTTTGTTCTTATAGTGCAAGACCACAAATAGTTATGGTTTAATCTGCGATTTCCCAAAGAGAGGAAAAATAGAAACTTTTCGCTATAAACTACTGTTAATTTATTCATTTGACTGGTTTTTACCCAAATTTGGTGCATTAAAGTTCCTTTAAGGAATCACTTATTTTCTGATAGTTCATAAATAAATAAATCATAGACATGCACAGCAGGGTATGGAATTCAGAGCAATTTGGTCTTAGTATCTGGAAAGAATAAAATGCTAAAAGGTCTTTAAGGTTCAAAATTTGCCAAGTTAATGTCAGAGTTACCATTACAAGAGTGTTGTCATCCAACAAATATACAAACTAAAAGATGGCTACACAATGTTAACCTTAAAACTTAAGTAGTCAAATCAATTACCATTAAAACATCGCCACAGCTACCTGAAACATCTCTGCTTTATTTTCCTCTTAATGTTTACACATGTAAATAACATGCTTCTTTGCCCTTGTTCAAATTATTTTTGAGTACAACGAGTGTTCTTTGCATCAGCAACTATATCTCATGGGGCCAATATTGTAATTAATGAGATTTGAAACACATATTCTGAGCCAAATTTGTGTTCCCAGACAAAGAACTAAAGATAGTTTTATTTGTTTTGATTTTGAAAAGGAGAGAAGGGATAGGAAACGTAAAGCTTCCTTGTATAAAAAAATCATAATATCTTTTGTGAGGGTTTTTGTGTGTGTATTTGTTTTTAATATCAAAAGTGAGGTTGGTTCATTTTAAGGGACTGGACATTGGGTATTGTTGTTGTTATTAAGTGCCATCAAGTCAATTCCGACCCAGAGTGACCCTGTATATTGTTTCCAAGGAGCAGCTGGTGAGCTTGAACCACCCATTGGACATTGGGTGGGAAATGTTATCACCTGGCCCACCAGAATGGAGCTTTGGGGATTGGTCTTGTTTTGTTTTACTTTCTTCTTTTAGATCTAGAACATGACAATGATTCATTACGGGTTTTGTTGTTGTTGTTGTTATTTTACTGTGTGTGTTTTGGTTTTGTTTTTTCTGTTTTGTTTGGACACATATGCACACTTTTCTCTTTCTGGAACCTCCATCTTAGTTTTAGAAGTCTTTATCATTTTAAAGTAGGCAGGTCATTATACTAGCCAGCTCAAACTCTGGATTGACTATATATTTCTCTGATCCTCTTTTTCTCTCTAAAACATTAAGGTTAATAACGTCTACATTATTACAGGGTTGGAGCCTCAGAAAATCTTTCCCTGTGTTATCCAGAACAAAGAGACTACCTCTTCATATTTAAATGGAAGTTAATCAAGAATTAAATTATTTACATCATGGAGAACACTTAGCACTTTAAGGTACAACAATAATAAATGTAGAATAGAAATATTTATTTAGAAGACTAAAAATAAACTATTTAGACATTAAAATGAATTTTTAAAGGAAATTTTTTAAGGACAAAACTGTTCAATTGTTGTTTCATAAAACTAATTAGTTCGTAGAAATAACATCTCTTTAATTGCATTCATACCAGTTTTCACTTCAAAATATTTTACTGGTAATATTCAGTAATACTCAGTGTACTTCATTAGTTAGATGTTCCCAACTAGCTTTTAAAAAGTGGTAAACTGAGCCCAAGGAAGATTTGTAAGCATGACCTGAAACCTACAGCAAATAGAATTAGTTCCAGAAGGAGAACTCTGTGTTCCTGACTGATAGTCCTGTTCCCAGACCACGAGGCCACACCTCTTTCTCTCAGAAGTGACTATTTACCACCTAGGAATGTGAGCAAGCTCCGAGATGTGTGTCACTCAAACTACCTTATGAAACTTCTGTCCCAGGCAGAACAGGCCAATATGCTCAGATTCACAAACTGCTGAAAGACTGTACCAAAGCAATGGACTAAATGGAATCATTGCAACTGTGCCAGTATGCATGCAACATAGTCACTCAGGCCAGAATAATGAATGAAATGGAGTCTCAGAGTAACACTATTTGAAACACCACTGTTGATTTAGCATCAGTTAATCTGAGGCAAGGTCTGGTTACTTAACCCCTTGCCCTGGATTTTTTAAATCCTAATTTACATATTCATAA